TATATATTCAAATTATTTTAACGGATCAAATGTTGGTTTCTGATCATTTGTAGTGTAGAGCGTCGCCAGACAAGTGCAACTTGAAAAAGTCAAAACCAGCGACTACAGTCAGCATTAACAGCTCCCTTATATGGACTTCCGAGTTATTCTCTGTTGACAACAATGTTTTCCCTTTTGATAGTACGCTTCTGTAGACTCACACTCCAGGAAGTTTCACTGTTGACCCTCATAATTTTGGTCTGCATTTAGCCCTTGTTTCATATGGCTTTGTGCCATCAGGTGATGATCGTAGGCCTTGCAAATGTTTGTGACTAAACTAGCCAATGAAAGTGTTCTGAATTCACTCGTGACCAGACGTTTTTCTTGAAAATATCCTTCTTCAATATCCTACAAATTACACCCCGGGGGCCAACGGATTTGGCAAGAGATGTAAGTTTCCTGATGTTTTCACAGGCATTTTCGGATTTGTCTCGCCGCCCAAGAAGCAATCGACTTCGCTCTCCGCGTACAGACTATCCATCTATTCATTAGATCATGCAGTTGTGCGATAATCGTCTTCAGTTAAGACAAATCCATGGCAACGAAAACCTCACATATGCGGGCTTTCTATAAGAGAGAAATTTGTCAACGGGTTACAATCCAGCGCTGAATATCCGCTCTAGGTGAATAATTAGACATAAATCGCACAGTAGAATCATGGTGCAGATACAGATTGTTTGCTGACTTGGATTGTTGCGATGACACCGTTCGCAAAGCAATAACGGCCGTGACAATTTAATTCCAATGGGGTCTAGTTGTGTATGCTCTATATTAACGTCGCACCCAAAGCAGTGTGCACGAGCACAGTTCGCCATGTCACGATGCGGATTCTGTGTCAGCACGTGAGACTTGCCAGATGGGACTTTTATCTGGAAGCTTGAGTAAAAGGATAATAGTTCGTCGGTTGCACGCGATATTTAGATTGGTTTCCAAACAGGAAGGTCGAACTGCAAACAGTCACAAAATTTTGGAACGCGAGAGGCCTTTCACAGATACTATTTACTGTGTCGTAGTGCGTGCTTATTCTGAATCTGAATCTAGAAACGAGTTATAATTGGTTACTGGTTTATGTGTAACTCATGTCACTCAATGTGAGGAGTCAGAAAAATTTAGAGAACATTTGTTCACCCTGGAAGACATGTTTTGGTTATTCTTACAACTTTGAACTTTTCGGGTTTACGGGCGCGGACGGGCTTCTACTAACCTGAATAATTTTTCCCGCCTTTCTTTTATAGTTACGTTTTGTGGAACAATGTCCATGCGAGTGTGACCCGTAAATTTAAGACGACACGCGACCACAGCTGCCGATTCAAGGTTAGAGGAAAGAAAAAAGCTGAAGCTAATAATAACGTATGCTCAAACTTTGAATCTGCTCGGCATATTACCACAAATTCTGCCGCTGGTGACAGCCAGTATGCGTCCGTTTTGGGACTTCAGATTGAAAAACTTGTTTACTGCAAACGGCGTGGAGGTTTGTAGATGTGGATAGTCTTACAAATGCACATTTCCACACCAACAGGTTTCGCGGTAGTAGGATGGTGTAGTAGATTCGGTAGAAGGTGCCTAAACCCAAATCTTGTCGGCACTACACCAGGCACTATAAATATGGGTAGGTAAGCAACAAAGACTGTTATTGTAGTTCACAGTAAGTCAGAAGAACATGTAAGTATGGATACGGGTGTATTGAGTACACGCGGCCAAGCTGGCCCGCTTTCGTGGCAGGTAAGCAAAACAACGGAGTCACATATCCAGTCAAGCCACAGCGCTCACGCGAGCCAACCAATCGGACACACATACAACCAGCCACTCAAGTCGCATGCCAGATCGATGGTGGAACGACGAACGGACACGCACACGCGCAAACTCTCTGACACACCGAAGCAGCTACTACAATCCTCCACCGCTAGATTTAGCCAACTCCAGCTTGATAACGTTCGACCGGCCTTGACTCCCTAGCCGACCGGCGCGGACACCTTGACGCATCTGTGGGTGTTTCCAAGCTCTCTTACTTCACTCCGGAGTCCACCTGCACTGGCGTCTCCAGTGTTTGTTCCGCATCCGGTCCATGCTTCCTAGTTCTGATATGGTCTAAATGATGGCGTATTATCCTCCCGTCTTCTAACAGCATGTCAATAAGGTTACGGTTTGTCGACTTCACACATCCACGTACCCATTCATTAACTGAAGGCTGAAGTTTGACGTAAACCTCCTCGCCATCTCGTAATGTGCTAGGTCGGGCGTGTTTATCTGCGTTTTGCTTCATGGAGCACTGCTGTTGTTTGACCCTAAACGCCAAATCCGACCGTATTAGATCCAAACGTGTGCGAAGTCTTCGTCCCATTAGCAATTCGCAGGGAGCCTGACCAGTAGTAGTGTGCGGTGTAATTCTGTACTGCAGAAAAAACTTGTCCAACCTTGTTTGTAGGGGACCTGGGCTTCGTTTTCTAAATCCATTCTTTACCGTTGCCACCGCGCGTTCCGCCAGGCCGTTAGAAGCGGGATGGTATGGTGGTGTTAGAACATGCTCAATCCCGTTGGCTCTCAGAAACTGCTGAAATTCCGCACTGGTAAAAGCCGTGCCATTATCAGAAACAATCGTATCAGGCACACCATGCAATGCAAAAACGCTGCGAAGTATAGACATGGTCGACGCACTAGATGCAGTTCTTGTGGACATCGCCTCTATCCACTTGGAATATGCATAGACAATCACTAGGATCATGTAACCTTCAACAGGGCCACAATAATCCACGTGTATGCGGCTCCACTGTAGTGACGGCCACTGCCATGGTGATATGGGCGCTGCTGCGGGCAAAGCCCTACTTTGCTGACACGCTTCACACCCTTGCACGATCATTTCCACATCGTGATCGTTACCAGGCCACCAGACAGTGTCTGGCTAAAGCCTTCATTCGCGTGTTACTTGGATGGCCTGAACGTAATTCCCTTAAAATGTCCGGACGGTAGCGCCTCGGAATTATTACCCTTGCTCCCCATAATAAACATCCGTCCTCTACACTTAGCTCCGACGATCGTTCGTAGAATCCGCTTAGTGCACTTCCAACATTCTCCGGCCACCCGTATGAA